GGCTCGAAGTGAGTCGGGGAGCGGCTCAGACAAGGTGAAGGCTCATAAGTTCGGGGCATGAGGGGGTAAAATCTTGTACATTGTTTCGGAAAGTATTTTCGAGATGGTTGTTAGTGGAAATGATTAAACACACTTGACCAGTGACCTAGACTGTATCGAAGTGATGGTAAACATTTGAATATGATGGCTTGAGCTCAGGGTGTGAGTGCGAGTTGGTGGCAGTGAAGTTGGGTGAGGAGTGGACGAGAGAGGAGAAGGAGAGAGAGGAAGCGAGAGAGAGAGAGGAGAGAGTGGGAGTAGGAAAGGAGAGTGAGAGAGGAGCGGAGAGCTACTGCTGGTATGTATTTGTGTATACTGTGTGTATGCTGCTAACTATTGCTAACTGTTGTGACTGTTACTGATATGCTAGTATACTATGTCTGGACTGCTGCTGTTTGTTATGTTATTTGCTGCTGACTGTTAATGCTGCTGTTGCTACGTGTGCGAATACTATATAGTATGTGCTACTGTCCCTTAGTGCTTGTTTAGCTGCTGATGGTATGCCTACTGAATTGCTTGTTTAGTATGACTGATGCTACTGTTACTGCGTGCTTCCCATGATGTTATGCTGATCGCACTAATGACTACTGTGCTATGTGTCTACTGTGATGCTATGCTACTGCTGATTGCTTTATGCTGTTACTGTGAGTGCTCGTGTGTACTTGCTGTTATGCTGTTTACTGCTGCTGCTGGTTTGCTTATTGTTGCTGATTGCTGTAGTAGTGTGATGCGTGTGTTGATAGATGAATGCTGGTTCTGCTGTTATGCTATTACTGATGCTGCTGTACTGCTATGCTGTATGCCGATCTCTAGATAGCTACGGGGGGGGCTCGCCCTGATGTTCTGCTGTGCTCTGTATGTGTACTGTGTTACGGGCTGTTCTAGCTGTCTACGCTGTCTACTGTAGACTAGCTTTATGGTGAATGCTCTGCTTTGCGGTACTGCTATTTATGCTGATTGTAATGTTGCTGCTGCTACTGCTCTTTTAGTGTGATGCTACTGTACTGGCTGTCACTTTATTACTGTGCTGTATCAGGTTGCTGTGCTCTGCTGTTACTGCTGATGTATGATTACTGCTGACTACTGCTGTTTAGCTTGCTGCTGTTAGCTACTGCTGCTCTACTGTTCGTTGTGCCTGCTGTTTGCTTTGCATACTGCGTTACTGGTGGATGTTGCTAGTGTAGTTGCTACTGCTGGTTATTGGTGATGCTACTTGGCTACTGTGCTCATGCATAGTTTTACCTGTGGTGTGTGTCTGTTGCTACTTGCTGTGTATGTTGTGCTTGCTGCTTGACTGTTTGGTATTGCTGATATACTGCTGTATT